AGCACTCATCCAGGAGGGCGGGGGGGGGTGCGTGTACACCCAGATCTACACGGGGTAGGGTGGGCTGGGACTGTGCTAAGCTCTTCCTGGCAGGGCAGGGTGGGTGGCGGTGGCAGCACTGGGATGGGGTGGGGGGGCTGCAGCTGTTGTACGCGCTAGGCATACAGCGTACTAAAAACAAGCAGGATCTTTGTCAGGGGATAGGGCAGCACGCCACGTTTATTAAGAGTACAGAAACATTACAACACCACCTACACATTTGCATGCGCACGCGTGCACACAGTTCTGCAGATGCTAAGGTGTTACCAGTCTTTCAGTTGCTCAAGCCAGCTTCGTGGCCAGCTAAGCTGAGCATGAGAGGGGAGCCGAGCCTCTGTTGGACACGTATCAGTGCTCCATCATTGTTGTTGTGCAGAACAGTCCCAAAGCTTCTTTGTTATTGCCCACTTTTTATAGTAGCTGTCTCCTGTGCATGTCTACGGACGTTGCTGTGTCACTATGAAGTTGTTTTTCTCTTTTTCTGCTGTGTTGAGATGATTCTGGTTCTTGGGGTGGATTTTTCTTGCTCTGGGTTCTGCAGTCTTTAGTTGTTGGGACAGGGTGCTGTTTTGCAATTGTTTTGCAGCCCTCAGCTTTGTCAAAACAGGAAGTTACTATGACCTTTGGCCATTGAAGAATTACAGCAGAGTCGTAAACCTTGCTGTTTCTGCTTATCTTCATTCTTCACCTAGCGCAGGTTGCTTCTTCAGTTTTTTCTTAGCATAGGTCATTAAATGATAGCACACAACACACAATGCTTTTCCAGTCACTCCACACTCATTCATCCATACATTCTAAATATTATTAAAACATTCTTATTTTGCTACATATATGAATATATATTAGCATTAGGTTGCTATAAAATGGAGTTTGGCCCAAGCTAAGTCATACAAAAGCTAAGCTAAATAATACAACAATAAAGTGGATATAATTAATATAAAATGGATGCAAGTTAGTTTAAAAAGCTAAATGATATGATGACAGAATGATTATAAGTGGTTATTTAAAAATAAAATGAACTTTAACTTGACAACCACCCCAAAGTTCGCTGTGGCCCCCCCCCAACTCCTCCATCCCAGCACCACCGCCGCCTGCCCCCAGCCCTGCCCCTCCGGGAAAAGCTTGGTACTGCCCCGCCCCACGCAGATCTGAAGGCACACCCCCCCCTCCCCCCCCCATCCCCTCCAAACTGCAGGTGCAGCACCGGGAGCTGCCAGGCAAGAGGTGGATGAGCTTCCAAACTAGCGGCTCCCGAGCGAGTGGCACGCAGTGGTGGGAGCTGTCTCCCATCTCCCTGCGCCCCCCAAACAAGCCATAGCTCAGTCCCACGCCTGCCTCACCCCAGCTGGGCAATGCTTGCCCCAGTTCTGCCCCAGCCCCTCTCCTTCACTACAGGGGGCCTTGATCTGCTGCTCCCTCTCCCTTTCCTTTCCCCCTCCCTCCTCCCGTTCCACCACACCAGACTTACCAACTGCACACAGCTCTTCAAGCTGCTGGGCTGGTATTGGAAATCAGATCAGTATCGGCCAATATGCCTCCTTAAAGATTGGCTATCGGTATCAGCCCCAAAAATCTCTATCATTGTACCCCTGCTGTTTTGTGATGACACATCTAAGGACAAATTATGTGAGTATTGTGCAAGGGTTGTTCAGCAAATAATAGTTAAACTTGTTTTGTTTAAATTGAATGTGAATGAAACTTGGATGCAGTTAAGTAAATTTCTAGTCATTTCATATTTTATGTCAAAAAGAAGAAACTCCCTTTTGTAAAAGGATATTTTTCACAGTTCTAACCACCAGAAAGTATTTGTACAATAAGAGAAGACTGGACTCCTCATATTTTTATAGATTTTATTGATTGTTATGATTTATCTTTGTTGTAAAACAACATAAGAGATAAAATTAAGCATTTTAAGTTGATGAAAACCATATTTAATAGTGCTGACTGAAATATTGTCTGATTATTTAGATGCCTAAATACCAATTTAGGAGCCCAGCTTGAAAGAAAATTTTGACTTTGCTTTTTGTAAATCAATAAATGGCCTTAAAACTTTAAAGTGATAATTTTTATATGCTTTGTATAAGCACTGCACATCTTTAATCTTTCTTTTTATTGCAGTTTTAAATTACTTATATTATGTATACAATACTTATTTTCTAGTAGTTGTTAAAATGTTCCAGATATGGAACTACTTATAATATAGTCAATGTGGGTAATTAATGTTTGAACAGAAGCCTTCTGCATTTCCTGTTTCCTTTCATTTTCAAGCTTTTATCTGGTTTCACATAGTTTGTCCACTAATTACATTTAATACCCAATTCAGCCTGAATGTACAACTTAGCAGGTTAGTTTGTATTTAATTTTTTCAGCTCTCTTCCAGAACTTCTTGAAAAGAAGAGGCTCATTGATCTTCATACAAATGTTGCAACTGCTGTTTTGGAACATATAAAGGTACTGCTATTTGTTACAAAAATTCAAATGCTCCGAAAACTTAGTCTGTCCCTTTCAAACCACAGTACTATTGACACTACTTGAATCTGAAGATTTATAGCTGAACAAATTAAGGTAGATCAGACAGTCATGGCTTCCAAAACTATTACCTTGGAAAGTGCTACAGTGGATGATATCTGCTCTTGGAAAGAACAAAACACAACAGCCTTTAATTTTGGTTTATGTACGTGACGAATTAAATGTATCACGAAAATCTTAGGTCAGAATTGTTCACTGATTTATCTTGTTTATTTGTGATGGCTAGATGGTAGTGGTGACTGTTTAGTGTGGGAATCTATCTTCAATAATATGAAAACTTCAGGTAAATTAAGATTGTCAGTATTTATTAATGACATAAATATTTTCTTTTAAATATATAAAGAACTTATCTCTGAAAGCACAATTAAAAGTGCCTCCCATGAGATGTTCTATCAGAGGAAGCCCAATTGGAGATGCTTCTGCAGAATGAAGAAATTCAGTACCAGGACACAAAAGAGGCCAAACATTTCTACTGGTGATCAGCGCCCCTGCATTATTTTATATTGTCACTTAGCTAGCTTGTGCCATGTTCACATACACTTAGATCTCTCAGTTGGATTAACATTAGGCATCATGCTTGATGGAAAGACATCTAAGCTAGACCATATAAAATGCTGAGGGACGGGGATGTCCATTTCTGTCTGTTTTTAAGTGTAAAGTAGAGGCACCAGAGGTCTTCTGTAGCATTCACTCCCAAGTAAATGTTCTCATAGAGCTACCATGTTGCGATTCCTTTTGCTTTGTCATCTCTCTGAACTTGTGAGCCTTTTATTGTTGAGGTACAGTGATCTAGTTAGTTGAACCTAGGCCAGAGAAAGGTGTTCCCAATCGACTTAGCTTAGTGATTAGGGCATTTTCCTGGGAACGGAATTTGGAGGGAGCATTTTGGAGGAAGAGAGTATTGAACTACCTGAGTGAGTGTACTTATCACAATACTGCTTTATAAAAGGTTCATAGCATCACTACTTCTGTTCTCTATCAGCTCTGTTTTGTTTTTTTTCCTGAAAGTGGCTGTAACTGCTGTGCTTTGTATGGCGCTTAGTAGGTATTTTTAGATGTGATCTGATTAGGCCCCAGATTTGTCCCCTCATGGGACTTAGGATGCCTAGTTTAGTTTGTGAATGCTGATCAGACTTAGGCATAAGAATTAATACTGAGCCAAACAGCTCAGTCAAGATGGCAGTAATTCTTGGCGTACCTAGTAGTAGAATTTTAGGCACCTAAATGATTTTAGTGCCAAAAATCAGGTGTTTCTCAAGTACTTCAGTGGTTAGGCATAATTCTTATGCATCTTATTCTTGGACTTAGATGCTTAAAATCTGCTGATATCCAATTTCAGGGATCTCTAACGCCACATCCACATGAGCATGGACATTTGTTTTCCCAGGGACACCTAGCGGTAGCATACCTTGTGTCACCATTAGTTGTCCCCAGGGAACACCTGTGCCACACGCCCTCTGGCATGCAGCAAGTTACCCTGGGTGGGGTATGGGAGGCTGGGGCCAGCACTAAACTGGCTCCAGCAGCCTTACTTGGGGTCCTGGGGGCCTCCCAGGGCTGCAGCAGCAATCCAGCCCCTCAGATCCTGGCCGACAACCAAAGTATGGATCCGGCCAGCCTGGCTCCGGTTTTGAGAGGCGCACACTGCCACTGCATGTGCCGCTCCTCCTTTTGTGCAAGTTTTTTTGACACCTGGATATCCAGAGGTCAAAAAAAAACCCCACCCCGTACTACTCCCTTGCACCACGGAGAACACCTGAATGTGTGGTATGTGGTGCTGCAAATGAGTCTGTGGCATCACATACTACATGGCTGTGCTCTTCTGGACACGGCCTCAGTACGCATAAGAGTATTCACTCTTATGGTGGACTATGGGTTTTATTGTGATATTTCTGCGTTTACTGTGTTCATGTTATAATATCGCATGACTCAGTTTACTTCATTAGCCTGCATGCAGAGAATGAAGGGTTAAGTTCCAGGGCTGTCTGTGCGCAGGACAAAACAAAATGGACCTTTAGCATCAACAGTCTTGAATCATTTTGTTGACATACCAAATTATAGTGAGATGCCCAACACCCAGGTAATGTGCAGAGGAGATGAACATAACAATGGAAGAGCTGGCTGCGGATGAAGCAGCCTGTCCCAAAAGAGTCTGGGAACTGAGAGACGTGGAGGAGTTGGAGAGACTGGAAAGGGAACAGCTAAATATCTTTGCGGGGTGCTAACGGCTGTGCAGGCTGGACTTGGTACAGAGGGGAGTGGCTGGCCTTTGCTCCAACAAATGCCTTTACTGAAGAAACTGTCTGCTTTGCTGCTTGGAACTGTGGGTTGCACTCAATCTCCCCAACAAGAGGCAAAGTTTCTCTCCTGGGAGCAGAATTATCATATTTATCCAGATCCAAGATAACTTTGAATTTAAGACAACCCTCCCCAAGTAATTACATTCCCATACATGGAAAATTATACAATTGTTATAATTTTCCATGTATAGGATCTAATTATTGGGGAGTTGCCTTAAATTTTGTCCCCAGTCATGGTAGAGGCAGGCAGCCTTGCACTTGTATATTGCTCTCCCATCACTTAACCCGCAGTGTCTGTGCCCCTGCTACCTGTCCCCCATCCCTCCTCCCACTTGCCTCCACCTGCGCTGCTGCCACCTGTTCCCCACCCCACCCACCATCCAATCCCCAACCTGTGCTGCTGCCCAGTCAGCAAAATGCAGGTTGCTGCCATATTGCCTGACCCAAGCTTCAGCAGCAGTGCAGGTCAGGAGATGGGAAAGCAGGACCTCTAGGTTCCTGAGGCTCACTGAAAGTCAATGGCACTTAGGCACCTACATTTCTTAGTTGCCATATTTACTCACATACCACACATACTTTTCCCCCAATAATCAGGCCTCCAAAAGCAAAGTGCGTGTCTTAACCAGACAAGCTGATTTTTTTTGTCAGAATAAAACAGTAGTTCTCAACCCTTTTTAGACTCACCCCTCCTTAAACTTAAGGCACCCTTGGAAAATGGCATTCTTTGATTACAGAAAAATAATAGTGCAACTCTTCTGTTTTAAAGAATTCAGAAAGACCACAACAGGGCAGAATGTTTTTAACACAATTAATTCCTAGGTGAAATTTCTGGATTTATTTTATGAATTATGTTAGCATGCCTGTCAGTGCTATGCCACCCCATGGCACCCTTGAAAGAATCACAAGGCACCGCAGGGTGCAGCAAAACCCTAATTGAGAATCACTAGAACAGAAGCATAAGGATGTTGTGTTGCAGGATGGTTACCAGCTTCTCTATCATCCAGCAAATAGGAGGGGTGGAGTTCTATGCTGAGCCATTCAGAGCCACCCTGAACTTGCCAGGTGTTAGAAAAGCTTGCAGCTATTGTGCAACACAGCCTCTACATGAAAAGGCCACCTCTAGGCTATAACTCCTGGAAAAATCTTTTTTTTCCCTGCATTCTGCCTTCCAAAAACAAGGCCTGTCTTATTTTGGGGTCTGTGGAAAGTGAGATAATACAGTGCTTCAGAAAAATGTATCCCCATGCCATTGTGCAGGATCAGAAGTAGTGGTATGTTTTGAGGCGTACTTCAGTGGATTTGAAAGCACTTTATTAATTAAATCTACATTGATACCATATTTTCCTGCATGCTTCAGACACCTTTTTCCCAAAAATCAGCTGCTAGCAATTGGGATGCACGTTTTAAGCAAGGAAATGCATTAATAACAGCTTCTGCATCACAAGTCTACCAGAGGCAAGATAAAGTAACACTACATATACTGCACAGGGTCAGCACAGTGAATTTTTGGCTAGGGGGGACCGTCATGCTAACTGTGATACCAATGTGTAGTGTTATTGTGGTTATTACTAAATTATTCTAAAATTCTGAAAACTCTATATACTGGTCTCTTCCATGTATTTCGATTCAGTTACCATGGGATCTAATGTATAGTTTCTTGCAATAGTTGGCATGGAGTTTTGCGTGCCAACTTTCATACTTGGTAGTTGAAAGGTAGTGCAGTAGCTCCATAGAAAATAATGGCATTTGGCAGTGTTGACATCTTTCATGATGCCTGACCTGTAACCTCCCTTTTTTTAGGAAGGATAATTGAGAAGGTGGTGGCAGGCCAAGTCCAGAAGCATTTTACAGCTAATTCTTTGGACATCAGCCAGGTTTTTAGAGCAGGATATGGAATGGAAATAACATTTGTCTTGATTGACTGATTATCTTCTTATGGCATTGGACAGATGTTCCTCTTAATTCTGCAGTAGGTGTTGTTGAAACACTTTCGTGTGACTTAGGCAGTTTCTCCCACTTCTGCCTAGAGTAGTCAGTCTTTCTGCTGTTGGAATGTTCCCAGAGAGTGATGGATGACTGTTTTTCCTTGTAGATAATTCTCAGTTGTGGGGTTCCAAAGGTCTACTTAGAATCTTATTTTGTATTGAGCAGCTGCTGGAGAACATCAGGAGACAGGAACATAGTGACATCCATGTGCTGATATTTCTTTCCATGTTTCCCTTTTTGTTGGATCTGGAAGGAACCATCTCTTTGCTGTCCAGGCATTTGTCAGAGAGATATTTAACTGCTTTAAACCTATCCCAGAAAAGAAGGCAATACAGATTGACTGATCGAGTTTAAACTGGGTGGCGTTGACCAGTATAAGACTTGCCTATAATTGCCAATTGCATTTTCCTATAATTTTTCCACTGGCAGTGTCTTTCTACTTTCTGTCCTTATAAAGCTGTGGAATATTAGAGAGGAGGAGGGTGGTGAGACAGCTCCTTTGGTAATGTTTTTGACCTAATACAAGAAACTCTCAATGCACCTACTATGCTGATAGTCTCTTTTATAATTAGTAAAATAATCCAGGAAATGACAAAAAGACTTCTGAGAAGGGTAGAAGGAGACAGCTTTTAAGGG